AAAAAATCGATAAAATCGATAAAAGTAATGCACGGTTTCGAAAACTAATATTGTATTCGTAATCAGCATGCACGATTACCCCCCTGTGCCAAATCCCAGCCCCGTAGCTCAAACTTTGCAAAAAAATCGATAAAATCGATAAAAGTAATGCACGGTTTCGAAAACTAATATTGTATTCGTAATCAGCATGCTCGATTACCCCCTGTGCCAAATCCCAGCCCCCTAGCTCAAATTTTGCAAAAAATCGATAAAATCGGCATCAATCAATAACGAAAAGCGGACTGTGACACCCGCTGGGGCCCGAAGTGTATGTGTGCCAAGTTTGGTCCGGATCGGTTCAGAAATGGAATTTTCTATTCGGAACATACGGCGGAGCCGGGTAAGACTACGCACGAGTTTTCAAGCTTTTTAAATGGCAGTCACATTTTTGAAAGCCGTTGCAAAACACTTGTTACGGTGTACCTGGTGTAAGTTTCGAAAAAAAAGCATTACGGTTGAGCGCAAATTCTACATAAAGTGGGTGTCTTCAGAAGTCTAATGCAAGACTTTCGGCCCTTTTAATTCTTTTGCTTGGGGAAATGGCTCTTGATGTTTCAAAACACGCTTCAATCTTACGGTATTTGTACAGCAGTGAAAAGCGATTGATAAAAAGCCACATATCTAAGTTGATGCCAGCCTATAGATCTAGATACTGTTGGGACCGCTCTATATCCAATCGCAACTCAGTATCCATACTATTATATAAAGCGCTAGCACCCCCATGTGAGTCAGCATGGAGTGTGTATGTTCCGGCGTTGTTTACCACTAATGACAACGCGCCCGGCACCAAAGAAGTCGCGCTGATGACGTCATACAGAGCTGTCTTCAAATGTTTTCGGTTACGCTCTTCAGCGATGATGAGTCGGCACCAGAAGCAGCAAAATCAAAACCACTTAAACTGACAGCGGTTGGATTGATTAAGCTCTTCCACTGACTGCAGTAGCTTCATTTCGAAAATCATTAAGGGATCTTCAAATCTTTTGTATATCTCACTACCGTTTTTTGACATCTCGCTTCTCTATTTCTATTATGGAGCGTACAATTTGGAGCGCAGCACACAAAGTTAGGTATTTTAGCAAGTACTGCAGTCTTCCATAGTTCATTTCTCGAATGCTTTGTATGTTTCCTCACCGTATACAGTTGCGCCAAATATTCAATTATTCCGTCCTTCTAATTTTTCTGCTAACATATTTGAGCAACATGGTTGTTCTCCATGAAGTGCTTGGTGAATGTTATCATGCCAGAACCGCAAAATCTGTTTTTGGAGGTTTTCGCAAACTTTTCTTGGGACAATCTCTGTCTAAGATTTTTTTATGAGCACTTCGTTTGAAATGCCTAAACCACAGGCAATTCCTTAGGCACTTTCTCAATTCACATGGAAAGATGTTTGTCAAAGCTGATGAACTTCGAAAATCTTTGACTCCATCGAGTTGACATTTAACTACTGTGTGAACTATTTGGATAGTTGCCAATAATTGTACGAAACACCATCTTTCCGAACAAATGCAGTGTAGTCATGCAAAATTTCTTGAAACTCGATAAAAGGATGCAAAAACCTTCTTCAGCTAACAAAGAGTAAACTTTAATGGAACTACTTTCAAATTTCTGTTTGTTTTTGTGTTTTTCTTCAAACATTAAAAATTCGAAGAGTAACGTAGAAGAAAGTCAATGCGATCGTGATTGATTTTATTAGGATTAAAAACTGTATGAATGTGCCGTTAGTCTCTCAGTTACGAATAAGAGACAAGGTGACATGCAAGTTGACTTTACATAAACTAAAGCTTTACTAACCTACAGCGGAGCTTTTTCAAAATATCGCACTATGTACCTCAAAATTGTGTAAGGAACAAGACCTGCCTAGGTGAGCCAGCTAGAAAGATAAACACCTTTGAGTAGGTCCCTTCAAGGATTTGAGATCGCTCAATAAGATAACCTGAAAATTGAGTGGATTTTGGAGCCTACAGATGAATTGCAAAGATGCTGGACAGTTTGGGAACCTCATAAAACGCGAAAGAGAGTTTTGACACTGAAATATCTTGAAGTGGGAGAGGAATTGTGACGCTTTCAAAAAAAAAATACTCTGTGAAGAGAAAGAGGGAATGTTCGAATTTAAAAAACTCTAGATTTGGTAGTTTTAATGTTGGCTATATATTTTCAAGAACATCAATTCGAATTTTCTTGCTAATTTAATTTCGGAAAGAGATAAAAATAGTCTGATTAGAGTTTTTGGGTGAAGGCTCTAAGGCAATTTGGAGGGTCATCAATGTGGGAAACAGGGCCCCGGATGGGATACACATGACTGGGATTACTTTGTTGGATTTGGGACGGGCGCTTCATCACAAAAAATTACGTTACGTTTTTTACGTGTGAAAGTTTAAATGGAGGACTCGGGCTAAGTCTGTTTCAATCGTGATCAGGCTAAACATTTCGAATAAGCAGATTTGGGGGCAATTTTTGAAGTGCCCCCCAAATCTAAGTTACAACCGAAGACTGTGAGATAGCGAGAAGATATCGTACTTCAGGAACTTTGATTAAGAAGCTACTTGGTGCAAAGGAGTTGAGGGGCGGGAGAATCCTCGAAAGACTCTGACAGCAAAAGATTATACAACATTCGAGATCTGTATAGTATCTGTAAATAAAGTATCTGTAATCGTGTCTCTGCGAGCAAAAGAAGTGGCGGTGCCGTTAGAAGAAGCTGGGAGGGGAGCATTCATAATTCTGTTGCCATTTTTAATAAGAAAATTTTCGAAACTTTCGACAGCAGGAAAAATCCGTGACTTTGGTAACTTCTGGGATCGTTACGTGTTTGAATCCGTGTCATACTTTTGGAGAGGAAAAGGTTTGCTACAAATCTTCAGGGGTTGTAACTTCCAGTCATTCCCATTTCACACACACAGCCAGTCCAAAGCGCCGCGAAGCGGCGCTTTGGACTGGTATAATATATATGAGGGTATATAATCTTTTTTGAAGTACGAAAAATCTCTTCACAACCGTCACAGGGGTAGCTTTTAGGTTCCTAAGTCTCTTCACGTCACGATTAAACCGTTTTTGCATCGTAAATTGTAACATAACAAAGTGTCCATTCTCAAAATCTACATGAAACATTTTATTCTTAGATGTTTTGGCCTTTCATAGGCATATTTAGAATTTAATGAAGTCCGAAAATAACTTGAAATCTCAAAAGAAATATATTAAATAATTACACGCATTATTGTTCGATCTTATCATTGCAATCGATTTTATACAAAATTGTTAAAGGTCAAAAACGCACGAAAATGCAATCAATAGCAATTTTTTAGGTAATCCGGTCAGTTTTCTGACAAAAGTCGTAAAACTTATCAGATGATTACTTCAAACAGCTAGTAAGCCAGTGTGCTTTGTTCGGTACTTTTTGAAACTCCCATAGCACGAAATAGGAGTTTTAAGTTGGTGCCAGACGGAAAAATCGCACTTCTTGACCGTCTCCCTTTCATAGGCAGTCTCAATGATGCAAATTATTCGATCAGTATTCGAAAATCGGATGATATTCGAAAATTGAATAACATTCGAGAGCCGAATAATATTCGAAATTGGAATAACGAATGATATTCGATATTCGAATATTATTCGATTCGAAATTCTTATTTTCGAATAATATTCGATAGTCGAATATTCGAAATTTCCGATTTTCGAATAATATTCGAAAGTCGAATATTTAAAATTTTCAATTTTCGAATAATATTCGATAGTCGAATATTCGAAAATTCCGATTTTCGAATATTATTCGATATTCGAATATTCGAAATATTCAATTTTCGAATATATTCGATATTCGAATATTCGAAAAAAATTTCGAATTTCCCCAAGTATACTGCCCATGCTGATTTCACTTCAGCGTTAGAGCCCTTTTTCGGCGTTTTTGCGCTCTCCAATGTGGATTTTCGGATTCAGCATAGCGAATAGGCCCGGGTAAGCACAAAATCTCAAAATCGAGTTCTTGCCCGGACACTGCCTTTAATGTTCAAAGCCAAGCCGAAGGTGTCCATAGTGACATAAATTCGAGGACGATTTGCCAGTTTTCGGTGACTTGACTCCTTACCTGCTTGCTCAGAATCCAAGTTGAAGCGAACTCGGTATGGTAAGCAGACTTCACGAAATCCTTGGGGAAAAGAAAAGAATTCTAGCATTCCGGTACCTGTTTGGAATTCTGTAATCTGCATTTTTCCGCTGATTCTGCCTCTTTTTTGTGAGCCGTATTGATGATTTGGTTTCAAAGAATTTAGGCGCTATTCGGTTATCCGGCTATAATATTTTTTGCCGTGAATTTGGCCTGCCATGGTGGGTCATATATGACGTGCTCAACACAAGCATGACCCCTCATGAAAGCACCTTTTGTTGTGGTTATGGTTGGTGTACAGTAGGGGATCAAAAACAGGGAACTGCGCAAAACTTCGCCAAAGATTTGCTCGAAACTTCGAAACTTGCCTAGGAGAGTTAATTGGCAGCTGAACATAAATATCATATGAATTCACAAGGTAGCGGTACATTTTCTCGTATTACGTTGAGTCTACGGTAGGTAACTCAAAATTTCAAATTGGTTGAAACTTGAGAAAAATTTGAAAACTGTTACTCAACAGCAGTTCTTCCATTTTGCAATCGGTTCGTATACTAAATACATGGGGAGGCTTTATTTCATACTCATCTTACAAGAAACTGTTAGTCTGCCGAAGACATTTCTGAAGTCTTTTTACTTTTCGGTCTTCCTTGACTCGCTTTGACGCTATCAGTACAACTGAGTATGCGCTATACTGGCAGAGATCTACTTATTATAGTAGTCTATAATGCATCCTAACAAACAATTTTAAATAGAATCGTAACGCTTCGAAGTAAATTTCTTATTAGCATTGTTTATGTTATTAATATGATCAAACAAAGAAACTTTTAGAACTTCGCATCTGAGATCGATCTGCATGGACAACGATGTTCTCAAGGCTTTTCATCCATACATTGCATGACTTGCATCAAACCATAAAACTAAACAACTAAACTATCACTTAGTAGAACTAAACCACTAAACTATCACATGAAAAAAGGCAATGAATCGTTTGTACTAGTAGGTTCAGATCATCTTTGTGTGTTCTCGTTTAGCCCCTTCTCGTATTCAGTCCAATCGTACTTACATTTGTAAGGCATAAATCTGAAACTGTCGAAAGAACGCATGATTTCTTCTGGTCGTTAAATTACCTCTCAGGTACGCCTTTTAGGCGAAGAGCGCGCAGTTCTTTCCACTTATCAAAATCTTTTTGTGAATCTCGTACACAAAAGAAGACGGAGAAAGGAACGGTAGCCATGCTGATTAAGCTGCAAAAGCGAACGTTATTCAAAAAGGGAAATTACAAACGTGAAAAGAGCAGTAGAGATTTATCCTTTGACGTAAAAAAAACCACCCACTATGATAATCGCGCTCGTCCAGTCAGACCATACAGCAGCATATTCGAGAGAACAAAATTTGTCCCGATTGAAATAGCTGTGACGCCAAATCCCGGATCGGGATTCTCGAAAATCTGAAAAAGCGAATACTTGAACAAGAAAACGACTCCAAAGGTTTTTGTTATTTATTGGTATTGTGCTGGCTCAGCCTCCAACCAACTTATTTAGGAACGAAACTTCCTCTATTTGCAATGTGATACCCGTATACGCCAGTAAGCCAGTTCATACATATAGCCTATACGTCAGTACCCTGCATCCACTATGTTCTCGTAATCAGCATGCTTACAGGGGCTTTCAATCTGAGTATCACGGCCGACGTGGTTCAGGTCTCAAGAGCCGCCTCGCTTGGGTCTCTCACGTGGCACAACACCGCACCCGATACCGCGAAGGCCTTAGCGCGGTATTCTACCAAGTGAGCTCCCAGCTCCGTAGAACTTTGGAAAAAACTGATACACAGAAGCAATGATAACGCTGGAACCTGATGTTGTGCTCGTAATCAGCATCCTCAGCTATCCCCCTGTGCCTCCCAACCTCGAGCTCAAACTTTGCAAAAAATCAATAAAATTGATGACGATGGATAGCGAAAAGTACCCTATGACACCCGCCCCGCCGCGAAGTGTATGCATGCAAGGTTTGGTCCGATCGGTTTAAAGTATTTCTATTCGGAATATACGTACAGACCAGTGGCGTACCGAGGGGGGGGGGGCGGGGAGATCACCCGCGCGGTGGGCGGGGCGCGCCCCCCCCCCCCCCGAGAATGGGTCGCGAAATTTTTGAAAGTTACTTAAATGTGTTATAAAATGTGCCAGAGGACTCGTTTTTATTTGTAAGTAATTAAAATGATTTTTAAAAATTTTTAAAAATTTAAATTAGCCTTATAAAAAAAATTTTTGGGGGCGTGGCTGCCACCACGCCCCCTTTTTCTGAAATTTTGGGGTCAGGGACCCGGAAAAATTTTGGGAAACATCCCAAAAAATTTTTCGGAGTGCGTGGCTGACGCCACGCACCTTCATTAGAAAAAAAAATTTTGTCGCCCCCTCCCCCGAGCCGAAATCCTGGGTACGCCACTGGTACAGACAGACATTCACTTTATACAGGGCAGCCCAAAAATCCTTGTGGCCAAATTCATTTCTGAACATAGTTACCTTTTATTAAAGGTGAGTTGGCTGCCCCTTTTTGCACTCAGTACAAAGCACACTTCTCACTGGCCCACATTAGGAATTTCACTCCATATAACGCCAAACTGTGGAATCAAGAACCCAGCGAAAATCCCGTTTTCACTTTCAGTGGTCACGCTTGCAGCCATTATTTGGGCAAATAAAGACGCATCAGTCTAAAATTAATTCTCTGAAGACTACGAGATCCAGGCTACTGAATGACATAAAAATCATATGCCAAAACTTGTTCTGTAACAAAAGTTAGGGTGCGGCACATAGCTCAAAAAAGTTGTGGCTGCCACACCTTTTTTGGGGTTGTACACCCCCAACTTGTCAGAAAAATTTGCGGATAACTTATACATGGTTCGAACAGCCTAAATCTCGTAGTTTTCATGGAAGTGACTTGAGCCTGTATCGTCTTCATTTCTCTGAGCAATGATCGCTGGAAGCATGACCGATGAAAACAAAAAATGGGATAAAGGGATTTTTGCTGAGTTCCTAATTCCACAATTTGATGCTATCTGAAGTAAAATTCCTGTTTTCCATAAAGGGATAATACTCTGTAATGGGTGTAAAGACAGATAGTTAACTCGCCTTCAAGACAAAATTAATCTCCGAAAATGACCATGTCACCTGAGCGACCCAATGTTTGGAAAATTCAGAAATCGCTAAAACTTGGAGTGCGGAAGTTATTCTAAATGCTAAGTAGTGAAATGATACTCATGATGCTTGGTAGAGCCTCTCTCTTATGCTTACGGGAGGAATACGATGATGGGCTGAGTTCCGGGGAAGGGGGGGTGGGGTAGTGAGGGGATAGAGCGAGGGGGTCGTAATCAAAGTGATACAGTCTGTGTCAACCACACGCTCCATTTTCGAAAGCAATTAACGCATCCGCGGCGCGTGGGCATTATGCAGCGATCATAAATCGATGCGACATTTTACACGGTCAAGCTATACGCCCGCGTACGCGGCGCGGGGCTCTATCGTTGTGCTTAGCTGATCGAAACGGGAGTACATCGTTGACACAGAGGGTACTGATGTACCAATAACATGATGTTTTTTAACAATGTTAGTTAAGCCCAGCAAAATGTAGGCACACTGAGGCACTGACCTACCATCGTTAAGTACCGCAAGTAAAACAAGAAAGCCCTACCAAGTTTGATAAGTACATTTTCGCACTTAACAACCCCTATGGACTAAGTTCGCGATTTTTGAGATTTTCAAATTTTGTACCTAGTAAAACGGCCTTTTCGAACATGATTAATGGTCTTGAAGGCAGTGCTGATTGGGGTTTTGGGCTTTCAGTGCTTTGCAAAAGTGGGCCCTCTCAAACTTTGCCATCGCGCAAGCACAAGGGCATAACATTTGACGGAAGCTGAAAATACAGTGAAAGTTGGGAAACTTATGCGTGGGAACTGTGCCACTCATCCAAATTCAAATTGTAGGGCTTTGAGAGACGCAAATTCTCGCCGTTTTCGCGCTTTCTAACGTGGATTTTTAGGATTCAGCGTTGCTGATAACCCCAGGTGAGTTAATTTGCTAGAGATCGAGTTCTTGCTCGGACATTGCCTTTAAGAATGGGTTGAGCGGCTGCCTCGTTTAAGAAAATTGCACATTTAGCACAAATAAGACATAAATGGATCTTTCTGCTGCACTCGACAAAATTATCCACATATTTATTTTTCAGAACGCAAGCGCCCACTGTTCATCTATTCTATTGAAAACTAGACAGTTTCTGACCTACCCAAAACGACCTTTTCTTCACAGGCGGATTATCATCATCTCCAATCGACATGAACCTGGTTAGAATTCAATAGTTTATGGGATTGCATGTTGCTAGAAGAAATCTCGCTGGGGACACCATGAAGCAGATAATCAAAGTTATAATGAAAAATTTATCAAACGCATACAGGAGTACAGCTCTCCTTTCTAAGCATAAAGAGAAAGAAAATGAGCAGCATAACAAAGCAATATGTTATATAAATGGTGAACCAATGTGTGGCATTTGACACTGTGAATAAAGTGAACTAAGACTGTCAGCAATAAGCCACGTCAGCTATCTGCTCCTAAGCACAGCAATGCACCTAAGGTTTATATGACATAGAAATTACACTATGAAGATAAGTCAAACATCACTTTCACTATATGCAATTTGAAGAGGTTTACAAAGAATTGACAGATGTTAAATGCAACAAAATCTCGAATCATATATCAATACAATATACAAAAACTATGAAAATGAGAAGCTTGGAGCACAGAGACATCACAAAATGTCAATGCTTAAAACCGGAATTCACAATTTATTGCGTAAACTAAACGAGTGAGCAAAATTCGTGAGATAAAGAGGCAACTGTAAAGGGCATGACTATCACTAGAAGATGAAACCAACAGTTTGGGTTGTAAGTTACAAGGTAAAAAATTGGACGTTTTGGATGCTAAAGTTCGATCGATTATGGAACTACAAGTGAAGACAGCAACAATGGCAAAATGGAGACTACATCTAATGAAAAAATGATCTAGTAGATGCGCATAATTAAGGCAAACATAGTTTGGACAGATATCAACAAAGTATATCTGTGGCAATTGGACTTCTTTCGGAGAGCATGATTTTCAGCTGTTACCAACTGTTAAGCAACCGCTTTTCAAACCGTAAATGCACAACAACGTTAACTCACAAAGATATGTACTGCCAAGTTGACTGGAGATACTGAGAAGGTGCATCCATCATTGCGCGACAGTGATGAACACTGCCTTCCGATGAAGGATACATATCACAAAAAATCATTTTTGTCATTTTTGCAAACTTTAAAATGCAACCGATAAGGGCGTTGGAAATAGATTATCATGTGGTACCACGAAGAAACTTAAAAGACAGTCTGGGGATGCTGGGAGGCTCTCAAATATGTGGAGGGAGGCGTTACCGGTCTACAGTAGAACGACGTTTAGTGCAAAAAAGTCCGAATCAGGGTCAGCTGAGAGCATGTACATATTAAAAAAAAACTAATCCGTCTTATTTTCCGTGAAAACTAACGTTAGCGCAGATGGTCTTGCCAAGCCAACACTCAGCATCTTTGACAAATCAACTTGACACACATACTCCGCAGCTTTATACGCTAGTTACCACTTGAATAGTACACGTTTCATCGGCTATGAAGTAATGACTGGCTTATCATGATACGCAAAGGGAATTTTCGCAGAAAACATAAAAAGGTAAGATCACCGAAGAAAATTTCTGCGAAGGCCCAAGATCTCCCTGCACCGTCAATCACCTCCATCAATGGGAAAATATGACCTGGATGAGACTGAACATGATAGCTTGTATATCAGAACCATAAATAAAGTTCTGTTAATCAATCAAAGAAAAATCAAAGTTGGCAAATAGTTGTTGATCCGCCTCAGTTATGATATGTTTATCCTTCGCAGATGAGAAACGGGGTTTCTCCTTGGTAAACTCGTCGTCAAAGTTAGAGACATCTTCCGGATTTTTCTGAAGAAGAGAGTTCAATGCTGCAAGATAAAACTGCCTAAAAAACGCAAGAAAGTGGGTCCACTTCAGTTATTAATCAATGATAACCCTTCCGGACTGTGATACACAAATGTAATCCGGTATCTAAAGATCGCTTGGATCCTCTTTCCTCTGTTATCGGTTCCCTAATCAATCGCTAGTAGTTTTCCGACAACGCAGATATAAACACGCAAGTAGACTCACTTGAAGAAGTAAAAAAAAGTTTTGGTGGAATGTAACGCACAGTAAGAAAGGTTGGAGTTAACGTGAACTTTACAAATGAACTAAATAAAAGTGAATAAAAATGTAGATGTAAATAAAAATAAACTGACTATTTGTGGTAAGAACTGCGGCTTTATCTCCTTCCGAAGAAGACGGTCCCATGCCCAGTCTATGTGCTGAAACACTCATGCTCTATTAGAAAATAAGAAAACCTAAAAGTAAAAGTAGATAAGAAAATGGCCAACAAAAGAAAACATTCCAACCTCCTAGAAAATGGCGCAAATTTTTGAAAACTGGTATTTGAAGAGGACAAACACACTTATTATAATAGTTACTCAACGTAAAGAATGGGACACAGCATGCAAGCTGATGAGCTCTTTCCAATGTTATTTTAGTGTTCGAAAAAGCTGGAATCGCGCAAAGTATTTAAAAAAAACTGACGATTACGCAAAAAAAGTGACAAGTACTGTAGGAACATTTGCTAACACTTCATCACTATTCCCGCTGATTTGGGAGGCGAACAGACACGACATATAATAACCACCAAGCATATTACATATGAACAAACTTTCATACCTTGAAGAACCGTTGATCCTTGACTTCTTCAGCATCCTTCTCACCGGCTCCTAGTCGTTTCTCAGGATTTTTTCTCATGAGCTAAATGAAGAAGTTGACATTGTAGGTGTGCGAATGAAGAAATATAGAACCAAAAAAAAACAAGTTGGAAAAGCTTGCGACATACTCGACGCATTATGGAGATACTCTCGATGGACAAGAATCGTGGATATCGAACTTCATCGTTCACAATGCTGTCAAAAATTTCTTCTTCGTCATCACCGCTGAATGGAGGCTCTCCCACCTGGGAAATAGAACGCACATAAATTTTTATACTTGCTCAATCAAAAATCGAGCTTACCAGCATCTCGAAAATTAAAACGCCAAGACCCCACCAATCAATAGCTCGTGTGTATGATGACTCTGTCAACACTTCGGCTGTAAAAACATTGTATACGACACAGTTCGTCGATGTTTCGAATCATAAAACATACGCGCAAGAAATTCTGGCGTCCCACAAAATGTGCTTGTTTTATCTGTTGGTCCCATGCCTTCCTTGCAAAGGCCGAAGTCTGCTAGTTTCACAAATCCATCATTGTCCAACAGCAAGTTATCCAACTTCAGGTCCCTAGAGAATATGTGTTATGAATTCGATGCTGATTGTGTGCAAAGGGCAGCTTCTCCAATGTATGAAAAAGAATGCAGAAAGAAATAAACATGCCTATCACTAAAACTACAAGGCAAATTCAAAAAATGCTGCTTACGCGCAGTTCCTGTGAAAGCAACTTTGCAGAAATATAGTTTACAACAAACACTCAAATACTGTTCCGTCACGGTATCAAAAAAGGATCAAGCAGCAACTGAAATAGGGCACCTGTATATGATGTTGTTCTTATGAAGGAATTCGAGACCGAGCAGTACGCAAGCAGCATAAAAGCAACTTCTTTCTTCGCTGAAAATGTCGTCGTGGATGTGTCGCATCAGATCACCACCCATGCTGGAAAAGAAGAACTATAAATAGAATCATAAATGACACATCTGCGGCACAATCACCTGTATTCCATGACAAAGAAAACGTGTTCGGGAGACTGGAAGCATCCAAAAGAATTGACAAGGAATGGATGCCGAGAGTGAGTTGCCACCTAAGTTTACACAACCGTGTAGCCATATAGTATGGACGATAAACATAATCGGCGAAAAGAGAAAAGTGATTTGATGGTCAAGCATAATGTAAAAATCAAAATGTTGCTAATTACGCCAATTCATAGATCGATGACATTTAGAGATGTGCTGACTGCTTCCGCATCTTTCTGTTCCTCCAAGATTTCTGCACTTACCTCAAAAATTCGTTTTTCCACCATAAGCGACTCAACTTCGTCTCGTCCAAGAATGTCACCTTTCTTCAAAATTTTAAGGGCATAATACGTTGAAGTCGGCTTGTATTGAGCAAGGATGACCTAGAAGGAGATTACAAATAAGAAGGAAGAATTTACAACCAAAATCCAAAACATGAATCACTCACTTTTCCGAAATGACCTCTTCCTAGTACGCTAACCATACGGAACATATCGATATTTAAATTTGTACCCTTTGATATCGCAGGAGGTGTGACTACGGGAGGTTTTGGTTTTGTGATCTGCAAAATGTACGGGTAAAAAACTGCACAGTTACAAACAAGTAATAGATGTGGAGGAGGAACACAACTGCGATGATTACGGATCAACTGAACTTCACTGCTTGAAAAGGGCCGATTTACAAGAACAACAATAATTTGTGGTTCAAACTTGAACACAAGAACAACAATAATTTGTGGTTCAAACTTGAACCCATGAACAACATAAGCTCCGGTTGTTAAGAAGATCCTCTCAAAGTTATCAAGGACCTTACCGTAGACGACTGTGCGGATGCAGTGTCTGCATGACTGGGAATTGCTGGGATAGATTTCCGGCGACGTTCCGATAATACGGCATTCTGCAATACAACAAATATACTTCATTAATAAAATCGTGACGACGGATTTGACTGCGGACTTTGCGCCCAAAAGAGCATTAAACGCTCATACAAGAAGGCATCTCCTCAACGTTTAGCTCAGCCACTTCCAGTGTCTGAATATTATCATGCGTAAGCAAAAAACCATTCGACTAGAGATAAAAACCAAGAAAATGCGATTTCTGGGAGTGGCGTGCGTGTCGCGCGCGGTCGCGCCATCGTCACGATTTTTCAAATGCCCTATACATAACAAAGCAGCAAGTTCGAAAATGTCAGATATGAGACGAGAACGTTTAAGCCCTTTAGGCCCAACAAGTTTGTGCTGAAAAGAAGAAAAGGGAGCATCAGAACTTACCTCATTCTGCGCTTGCGCATTTCTTGAAGTTTCAGGGGGTAGTAGTGATGCTGCTTGGGAAAACCTTAAATGTATATTCAAGAAATGTACACAATATATGTTCCATTGTGGCATACCTATTGGAGAGATCTATGTAGCTTCCAGGACGTTCCTTAACAAGTTCCTTCGGCAATAACGAAGATTTGAAAGGTAAACCGTGCACTGCAAGTACAGTTACTAGATGCACCAGACGCTATCGGCTAGCAAACTAGGACTGAAACCAACCTGTCTGGGTACCAACACCGTAATCAACAACTGGCTCATTCTCGCGACCTCTGAGCATCCGAGATAATGCATGGACACCAAGCTGCTTTTTGGCACCGGCCATGTCTTTCCGCTCTTAGTAGATTAAGTTGAGCAAATAAAAGATGGACCACCATGAGAAGAAAAAATATAGCACCTTTTACTTTGAACAATCTTTTCTGCCTTTCCAGCTTGGGCTTTCGACTTATTACTGGATTCAGATACTTGAACTAAAACACGCAAAGATTTTTGATGGATGAAAAGTCAAAGATCAGAGTGTTACCTCGGCAAACAGATCTCCTTGTGGCTCCATATGTAGTACCATACCAGCCTGTCCAGTAGGCTCCACAAAATTACCCAATTTCACTACTGTGAAGGCACACATAGATCGAGAGTCTCGATAGAAGACTTCGATTTCCAACTCTTTGGACTGAAAAGACCGTTACTGACAAGAAAAGAAGAGCAAATATGTTTTCTGGTGATGATGCATACCCTATCCAGGTCAACACTGAACCGTTGATCCCAGGCTTGCTGGCTCAACGGGCGAGTCTCAGTAAGTCCAACAATCCGACTATCCACTCGTAACAACGCGAGCACTTCGTCGGATTGTCGCATCACCACGCTTAAAATTAGTTTAAAAAGAGCTGATGGTGAGAAACAATTTCATAGGTGCACAATGGAATTCTGTGCAGTTTACAACATTTAGCCAATTTTTACGTATGTGTCAGCTTAAGAAAACTCACCCGTGTGTGCGCGTGGATGAAGTCCTCATTTTTCCACGACTTGTACTTTCGATAGTGAGACAACTTGAAGCTGTTGCACCCAAAGCTTCTGCGCGAGGAATGCGTCCAGGAATTTCGCTGACTAAGTTTTGACATCCTATTAACCGTATCTGAAAATTACAATTATACCACAAGATAGGCTCGATCATGTTTGAAGCCAATCGCGCAAATTGCGAAAGGTCTATATATTTCAAAGGATAAAGCTTTAGTTCGGACAAGGGCCCAGGGCGACACAAACACAAAACAAACAAAAACTTCAGACTACACCAGACTATATTTCTAGACAGGTGCACTTTCCGTAAACAAAAAGAAAGAAGGAATTTGAAATTTACCTCCAATCTACCACTGACAGCAAGTGAAGGTGGCAGCGTGCTAAGTCGCCGACTGTAAACGTTACGAGGCAAACTGGCAGCTTTCGAAGTTTCCTGCAACACTGCATAAAAGCATGTCGAAACCACATTCCCAAGACTAGATGCGCATTGAATTTAGCTAATGCAAACCATACCAGTGGTAGCAATAATAGGCATAAAGTGTTCGAAATGATACGAAAAACCGAGAATGCATCAAAATCCTTGGCTCACACTGGGAGGACTGCTTGGGGCTGATCCAGGAGGACTAAAACGCCGATCAGCATGCCTTGCTTGAGGAGAAGATGAAGGCATACGCGTCTCCTCCATTTCATTCAAGAGTTCTTTACGCCGAGCAGAGTCAGGAGGAAGCTGGTCTCTAAACAGATAGTTACATACTGGGGTTTGTCATGATGATTTTACAAAAATGTACAAAATCAATCAACTCTTTTTTATATTGTCCCCTCATTCTTCGGTTTTATCAGTAGAAATGCACTCGATTAGTAAGTCAACCAACATCCGCATAGATATCCACATGCTTTGCTGCTTATAGAACGCGTTTGATACAACGACCGTTTTTGCATTGAAGGCAGGGCGGTTCATAAGCGCACATCTTTTATGCGGAAACATTTGGCATAATCGATTAGTAATGTTGAAATCAACAGTAAGATGGCTTACATGTATTTCTTCAAAGCCATGAGAAGTAATTCAACTTTTTCTTCGGCAAGTATGAGAGTTTGTTGGGCCTGAAAACAAGTACTGAAGCACATTAGAACTATATAAATTAGTATGAACGAACGTCATTGAGGCCTTTGTGATCCGTCTTTCTCTGTGCACGCAAAATTTTTATCATGTTCTTCGCCCCTTCTATAATCGCAGCTTCTTTCCACAGTCGAAAAAGGAGGTCATCAATTACAATATCCAATCTAGACTTGGCTTCCTTTCCTGCAAAACAGGAATAGAATGAAAGCAAGAAGAAGCGCTTTGAAAAAGGAGGTTCGTGTGCATATATGTACCTTTTCAAGAGCATTTTGCCACCTGTAATCTTTCACTGCATGCAAATAACGGGAAGGGGGGGGGCATTGTGAACCAAAATGCAATACTTCACGAATAAATGCCATATAATTTAGGAACTTTACTTGGCTTATAAGAAACAACAAGTAAGTCCTCACCTTCGCTGTTCAAATTGACGTCATGCTCTTGATGAGCGATTTTCTCTATCTGCATACGTAGTAAAGCAATTTTCGCTTTACTGTCCTAAATGGCAACAACATGTAGAACCAATTCCAGTAGTGTTATGTTGAACTAACGTCAAGCATATTTTTAGAATCTTCGAGATATCTCTTGCTGGCGGACGTATTTGACGACATAAACTTTTCTAGCCCGTCTTTCACTTTCATTTCCTTCTCGAGATCTTTCTGGAAAAAAAACCACTATCACAAAAGGCATATATACTGATTGGATGTAGACACTAGGCTAGAAAAAAATTACATGCATTATTACACAACTATAGTTGATACGTGAACCGCAAAGACTGGACATCACCGCGGAGCACGCGACGTAAAACACTTGCCCCCAGTACAAATCGCCACTTACAGTCGCGCTCTCGCGGCGATCCAGCCGCGCCGCGCGTGGTCCGCAAGATCTGAACAGTCCGTGTGGTCAATGAATCGACGATACATTCCATCGGAAACGGATAACGGTACAAAAAATAAAATGAAGTTTTACCGATTAGCAACCATTTCGAAAAAGTTTTATTTGAGCTTTCAATCTATAGGTAGTATCGTTGATCGTTGACCGCACGGACTGCTCAATCGCGGCGGATCCGCGCGACGCGGCTAAAATGTTGCGAGAGCACGATTTGTACAATGGCGAATTTCCACTGGGGCAAGCGTTTTACCTAGCGGCGCGTGCTCCGTAATGATGTCCAGTCCGTGCGGTCAACGAATGAACTATACTTAGTTATAGTCAGCACCTTCCACTAATTGTCCGCAACAAGCATTTTATGGTAATTCGACAGAATGTAGCAACAGTAACACAGTTTTTAGGGCTACCACCTCGGCGTTAAGCTTGCGAGCTACCACTTGAGAATATACTTCAAATGTTTCAAAACGCGGCTGAAAAGGAAGCAAAAAAATGGTACCTGAAGTGCCGAGAGTCGTGCATTCTCCAGCACATGGTGACCACCTCCAGTAACTTCAACTTCATTTGACAAATCAATACTTCTCCCCCCAATGGGATCATCTCGGGATTCGTCATCATCTAAATAAACAAGTAAGCGTAGCTGACTGTGGCAGCTCTCTCACAATGCCATCCTACATAATCGGATAAAGAGCAAAGGGGTAGAACTCAAAACACTACGTGCCGGTTCCAGTACCTAATACATCTATAATGAAGATGAAATAATAAAACTCAAACTGGACAAAACGACGGGATAACCATGCTTGACGACGAAAACAGCAATGACCACATCAAGATATAAAGTTACATTGCACATGAAGAGGGATATTGATGTTCAGGGAACGCCTGCAGGGATTATCTCTGATGCAGTCCCTCACATCGCCGATAAGCGGATTATCACTAAACTATAACATTGAATCTTTGCTACTCTTTTATGTGTCTCATCACTCTTTGGGCAATTCTCATTGACACTCACTGAGAACTGTTACCTTTTCAATCATCTTTTGATTGACAACGAGGTTTACGCGTAGGAACTAAATCGTTTGATTTTGCATGCATAAAGTAGTAACTTAAAGAGGTCAATGACACTCAAAGATGCAGTATCGTTTCATAACTTTCAGTTAAGGACAAGAAAAGACTTTCTGAATAGTAAACCCCGTGCATTACCTGAGAAAATTTCGCGTAATTACAAAGGTTATGCAAAAGAACCAACATCTTTTCACTACTCTCCATCAAAAACAATATATCTCGCCCCTTTCACCTTTTTTTTGCCGAAAACTGTTAAGCGAAGGGCGTAGCCCAGTAAAACGAGACTCATCATCGGTGACAAGCTTACGCTCGATCATGTTTGCGCTAATCGCTTCAGATATGTTGAATGCCTCATAAATAATGTGGGTTTGCGGTTGCAAAATCATGTGACCGGCTTATTTGACATTCACAAAGTAATTACTTCCATAAAACATGTATGATTGATTTCTGCCTCTGCAAAACAAAGCAATGACCAAACGCTATTTGCTTATGCTTATTCCGTATTAGCAGGAAATCCAACATTCTGTCAAAGAGTAGCGAAAACAAATTAAGCAGATATTTCGCGTCTACATTTCCACATCTTTATTACTAAACTCATGAACAGTCGTTTGAACTCTTTCGGGCCTGGCGATGCGTAACTCTCAATTTTGAAAATCTTTATTATCCGCAGTAGTTTTTACGTTTTATTATACTAAGTGAGGTCCCTTCAGACCTTGGATTTCTGAACAGCACTTCGCGACCGCCATTTCAATTTTGCGATTTACAGCACGAGCATCTTTGCGTATATAATCAAAAAAACAAGAAGTCAATGTCCTTAGTCTCAGCACCGTGTCAACCACACCAGCAAGTAGTAATACAGTTATAGGTATAGTTCATATAGTTATAGTTATAGTATTAGTTATAGTTTATATCATAACCAAAAAATCAACTGCTGTGATGCGAAAGGATAGCTGCTATCTGTTTACCGGTCTACATATGTTCGAAAAATTTGAAATCAAAACTGAGCCAAAATTTGTCAAAAAATTTCTGAGTCCGCTATATTGTCCTTTATACGCGATAAACATTAGCAAAAAACTTTCTCTTCTTATGGAGAAATTAGTAACGAAATTTGCAGCTGCGACTATATCCATCAGTCTTTTTTACGATATCGATTACATCGGAAGTTGAGGCAACAGTAGACAAAGGAAGCGACTAGCGAAAGCTCAAAATCACAGACAAAACGCAGTTCTTACAAGCACAGATTAGAGCCATTAGTACATCCTTCAACTCCACATATGAATGGAATAAGGACATAAATAAACCGAATAAATAGTAGGAAGAACAGGAAGAGGGACTATGTCAATTTTCATGATCGCTACATCTTACTTGCGTTACAAGAAGTGGGAGATAGTTAAAAATAGAGAAAAGGCTAAATAAATAACCTAGAGATTACTAAAATTTAACTAACCAAAGGCACCCGTATCGTACACGTCTAGTATCTGGAGATCTTCTTGCATGTCACTTATTTGATCACTTAGGTCACGCACCTCTCTTTTCAGATTATCGGCCTGCTTCTTGGCATTGGTGGCTTTCTGTAATCAATTAGAATAAATAAGCCTAAAAGACTCCTTTAACTATCGAGCCTACCTGCATCTGCACATATCCAGCTTTGATTTTCATTTGCTTCTTGACAGCTGTGCGGATAAATTTCTTCAGTTCAATCACCTTGGTGAATCAAATGGCTGTTACCCTCAACAACTTAAAAATGCTTGGAAGGGATACATACCTCTTTTTGTATACTTCGGTCGTGATTAATTGAGAACTGATATTTCTCGGCAAGTTCCGTCACCTCTTTGGGCAGAGATTCGCATGGTCTACAAGAAATATGAATGCAAGGTAAGAACATGATCGTATGCGTTAGGCAAAAAACTTACCCAGCAACCGAGTCCTGAAATAGGGTGGATCCACGTGCCGCAGACGGCACAACATCCGCCATTTCTGGAGTAAAGAAATTGAGCAGGGGGCCGGTTATCATCCAGAAATATTGAAGACGATGCAAAAAGTAAGATCAGCGTTTATGCCAGAGAAAAAAATATTCATGGAACACGTGTAGGACAAACACAGTGGATTACGCCACAAATTATCAAGAAAGCGACCGGAATAACAGAGAAATTGGGCGTAATTATCATTTTTTGCATCCATGGTTGCTGTATTTTGTTTTATTTTCATGAGTGAATAACTTTTTACTCAGTCTATCCCGTTCAAAAAAAGTGTTTAGTAGGTGAATGATAATTGGCTGAAATAAGGAATAAAGAATTACGGATGCGTATATACGTGGACCGTCCCCGCTAGGCTTTCGAGTACTCATTCTACGAGTTGGGGTACCACCCCTCCCTTCTGACATCTTCATGCTCGCAAGCACTAGTGTTGTCAACATATAAAAGACGATTAACACATCCTGAAGAAAAACTGATTACTCGTTTATAAAGATAAGAATGGGGAATAGGATGAATTCGATGATGACATGATAATAAAAATGGCGGATAATATGTTCCATAGCATGAGAATTTCGTTGGCTAGAACAGTAAATTTCCAAACATCACCCGCATGAGACTGTGGATAATTTTGACTACGGAAATTGTGCTGGAAGACAATGCCAAAGTAGAATTGTGTTTTTTTTTTGTCACAGCAGTCATGCTATAATGCAGTTGTAGAAAAAAAACAATTGTGCAAATCGGACTAGTAGGTGAACCGTAGTTTAGTGTTTCGAAGACAATGAGTCAAAAGCAAGGAAAATAGTCGCAGTGAAGAAAGCGTTGTTCTTCAGGTGGAAATGTCAAATCAATGGGAGGAGTTCAGAGTATCAAGATAAAAATGGAAGCGAAACACGTCATAAAAACAGCACAAAGCAGAGGAACCATAGTATCAGAAGCGAGGTCGCATAAGCAGAAACAGAATCGAGAACCACTATGCAAAAAGAGAAAGGAGCTGGGTACAATAAGCAAATAATGTCGAGAGCCTGACATCAGATCTACGTGCACACAGATAAATCAATGAAATTGACAGCTTTACTCCCTTAAAATGCATAGAACCGGGTGAAAACAGATGGAACAACTTTTTCTCATATTCATAATGGATCCAATTGCAAAGCCTTCCCAAATTAGGCATTTTGAACACAAAGTTTGGATGCCCAGCCCTCTGATGCGTCTCCGCAAAGCAATTGCGGCACTCGAAAGCGTGTCTGATTGGAGCGCGTTCCCTTCCTTGACAAGAGTTAACATGTTAATTATATTGTTTTATTACCACTTCACCAATGTATTACTTGACTTTTCCCTGCTGCAATGCCTAATTCAAGATTGTAGCAACTATTCACTTATATGCTTGTGTTTTGGTGGATCAGGTGTCGCACATCCTACTCGTGCAGACTTCTTGATTCAATAAGGATGCAAACTATGATTGGATGATACCAGTAACAGCTAGTAATAGCTCGAAATTATGCGCTAACGATTAAGAGGTGCCAAACTAAGATTGACCATCTCTCGCACTTGACGTATCACTAAGCCGACCCAAACAATTTACGCCGTGTCCTTTCAAAAGCTGATATGTGATTGCAGAACTACACTTGCGCGTCAAATCCCGTTCGCTGTGCATCTCCACGTTTTTCAGAAGGCTAGTATATCTCCTTCTTGCTATCTGGAAGTGGGCCCGCAAAAATCTGGGAACCTTTCCAAAAATCTTCCTCGGAGTACGTGGTTTTTTTTCGTCCCCCCCCCCTCCACCCCAAACGGAATTCCTGGGACCTCCACTGCATGTGTCGATGCACAGATCATCTATATTTCGAGCGTGTCATACCGAATTCCCTGGCATACAGTCGGTGTCAATCACCCGCTCCCTTTTCCGCAAGCGCAATCGCCACGCCAGGGCTTAGCCCGCGTATGTCGGCATTCGAATTGGCCTTATCGATCGCAGGTCCGCATGCAAGGTCTCGCGATGCGCATGCGTAATTCCTACGCGAAAGGGAGTACGTAATTTGACACATACTGTAAGTGCTTCTTCAACCCTTGCTGTTGGTTTTGGTCCGTTTCCTTATCAAGAAAAACATTTGGTGAGGATTTTCCTTGACTTTTACGCATCCGGTAGCGCAGTATGGAGAGTGTGTGCACTGACACAATCAAGATACGAAACGGCTGGACTCTACAAGGCAGCATTTGTATTGTCTGCGTCGTTGACTCAACAAAAAATGAATTTTCGACTATTATCCTGCTCAATAAAACTGATAATTTCATTTGATTTGAAACGTTTTCCATACTCTTCATGTAACCGCTGATAACATAATACCCAAGAATTAAAACTTTGGGAAATGTTTGTTTATGTGTCTTTCTATTTGCTCTCAGAAAATCTTGCGGCTCAGGCTATTGTCTGTTTCTTAGGTCAGCGGATTTGGAAATATTTGCTCAGAGGGATTTGGTCCACATATGCGAAATAATGGAAATTTCAAGAACGAATCAAAACAAACAGATATCGTAGATGATTGTAGATGACTGAATTGTCATCGCTATTTTATCGTATGAGGAATAAAAATATTGATTTTTTTTAGGTCCAACATTGCGAGTTATGCATAAGTTTAAAGCTAATGGCTTTTGTTGTATTATCACTTTTCATACCATATCACTAATGCAGTACTAGATTTCCTTGAAATCAATTGTGAGTGGCTTTTACACATCAGAGATTGCTTAGGACTTTATAAAAATTATGTGAAGGAGGAGGAATCAAAAGGTCATAAGTTCAAATCTTTATTACACGCATGCGTGGTATGAGAGAATTGAGGTAAGGCCTAGAAAAATTATTTGGAGAGAGAAGCGAGACATTGTGATAATTTGAAAACAAGGAAACATGTCACATTCTCCATAATTTTATTTGAAATATTTGATTTCCTCCCTTGTCGTTCTATGAACTTCAGAATGGAAGTAGGGATCAGGTTTCATTTGAGGAAGAATGCCAGGACATGTCAGTGTGCTTCCCTACAATATGTTTTTTAAACGCTAACGTAAACGATACTGTTTTTTTTATAATCGGTATGATTACTATTCATAATGTTGTTATTATATTGTCATTGTTATTCAAACTGACTTGTTAGAAATAGTCTATACGTTCTCAGGCTAATTTGTCCCATTTTCTTGTTGTTGACGTTGACTTGCCTTATATTCGCGCACAGACGATCGTTTATAAATAAATAAACACTCCAGCTGTATTGCGAGGTGTTGAATAGTGAGTGCTTGAAGAGGCTAATTTTTTAGAGGGGAGGGGAAGTGAATGCGAAAAAAATTTGACTTATACCTTGACCAGATAATAAGAAAAAACGCGGTATCGAATGGAATATGGGAAATTGATGAAATGAGAAAATTGATAGAATTCATCGTGGGGCAAGTGGACGTGTCCGTGCCAGTCGACTACGTGGCGTAAAGCGGATCGCATACTAAATTGAAACTTTCCAGTACAGTTTTGATGATTTTGAACCATTGCAAATCGCATGTCGATCAGCTGGGGAAACTCTTCGTCAACGATTACTGAGAAAAACTAACCGATTTGAGACAGTATGAGACCTCAGTATAGAAATAAGATGCAACCTCCAGCTGGAGACACATTTCTTATATCTTGGACGAGATGTAATAGGAAACATATAGAAGATGAAATGGAAATGCAGAAAAAGAGATTGAAGCGCGACGAATTATAGAGTGAGCTTCAGGATAAATATTGTTCTCTGATGTTGATAGAAAGCTCAAATCGACAATGCGTCTCAGTGAAACGATGGAGAGATGGGAATGAATGTGGGTAAAAATCAAGAGCTCAAAATCTAAATAGTCTCACTGCTCTTAACGAATTTATGGTGATTGTTTTGATTCTTGAACGGTGCCTGTCAAGAAATTACCCATGTTTTCCCATTCATATTAAATTACCAGAAAAATGAGGTGCTGACACTTCAGTAGAAGTGAAGGCAGTGTTTAAGTCTGGACAGCTTATAAAAATAAGATTGGAAGGCTTGAAACTATTATCCAACATTAGCTCGCATGTTTCACTTTGATTTGAGAAAGTGAACTCCAACTTCTCGCCCAGGTCGTACTCTTTGAAAATCATCCAATCAGCGCATTCGCGACAAGTTGGGTCCGGTTAAAAAGTATACGGTCTGGACGAGATTCAGAATTTCCTGGGAGGATCATATGGATCTGCCGCCTGTGCAATGGCTCAGATAAGGCCCCTCGAGTGTCCAGTTGTTCGTTTTATGATCAGAATTCAATTTTTTTCGTATTCTTTTCTCCTAGTAATACTTACGTAATAATGTGCCAACATTTTTGAAAGCAATCAAAGAACAATTTCACTGTTCTCATAAGTTGCCAAATTCTCTTGCAAAAGACTGGAACACTTCCACACTTGTTTTGGTTCACAACAATTTGATAATAGCTGTTCAAGATGACTCACCTGGGCCGGTAGTAAACCCCCCGACCTGGCGGCAGGTCTCGTCGGCAGGTTGCTGGCACCTTTCCGCGAGGTGGCCAGAAACTAAGAACCGAAATTTAGGCCGTCCCAGGCCTTTTTTCAAAAAAATTTCTCGATAAAGTTGCCGCCTCGACTCTGTAGGAAACTTCATAAAAATCTGCGGCTCCAGAACTCCTCCTTTAGTAAAATATCTGGAATTCCAGGAGGAGCTGCCGGCAACTTCGCGATGTCAGTTGCCGGCAACCTGCCGGCAGGTTGCCGGAATCCGCGAGATGGCAGCTGCCGGCAGGTCAGAGAGCACGGGAAATAGCGTGCTCTTTTGAGAGAGCGAGCTGCCGGCATCTCGACGTGCCCCTACCACGTCGAGGTGGTGGCACCTTTGCCGACGGCGTCTGCGAGTTTGCGAATTGCGGCGATATCACACAATTTACGTCAGGCGAAAAAATCAAAAATTCTACTTTTCATGAAAAAACTATCATTTTTCTCATTATATGGGTTTTTCTTTTTTAAAATGACGATTTTCTTACAGAGAAAAAATCCACTAATGCCTTAGAATTATATAGAACACGAACTGTTTTGGCAATCCCTTATAAATCTCAGTTTGCACCGATTTCGCTCCTCTCTCGCTCATATCAATCAGCTGTTCTTTCAGGTCAAAGTCTCTCACGCAATGTATCGATCCCTTTTATAGGCAGCCATTCACCAGTGCGTTCCTCCTATTGCTGGTGCAAAAGGCAATGGCTGACCGAATGGTCGAATGGTTAACGTGGTGGCACTTCAAGCTAACGCACATAGGTTCGACCGCGCGCAAGGTAGCATTTTGCGGTTGTCTGCGTCATCAAAACTTAATGTGCGAAATGATTACGTGCTAAGGTTAGATAAGATTACTGAAACCTACAATCACTCCGCGAGCTGCCGGCGGAGTTGGCATCTTTCCGCGATGTGTGCCAACTTGCCGGCATCTATGATGCCACCAGGTAGGGTAGATTACTATCGGCCCTGGAGCAAACAATGCACGGTCAGAGCAACACGAGCCATTTATATAGCTGTTACATTCTCTACTAATTAGTTATAATAAACATGGAGAGACAGATTTGCAAACGCTCATCAGTAGTGTAAATGTTTGCAGCTTCATAATACTATATGCGAAATACAAAGCATAAAAATGAGATTTTGAATGTGCCACACTGGGTTCTGTCTAACTAATGACGCTGCCCTATAGATGCTTGTTTTTCCAGAGAGGCTCTGTCAAAACAGTTTTCTTCCCAGAATTCCTGCCAAAACATCTTTTTTTGAAACCATGTTCGTTCCAAAATAAAGCCTTTTCAACTTGTTTTCCTTCCAAAGACACGATTTTTTGCGAGATTTCTCTCCAAAACAAAAGTTTGTCTAAGTCCACAAACAAAACGTCACTCTCATTTGCTCTGAAAATTTGGTTGAAACTAGGTCTTCGACTACTCACTAATATAAACACTTCAGAATTCGATTTTAGAAAATATTCGAAGTCATGAAATGCTTACTTTATTTACACCTTAAGTCCTGATGCAATCCTCTTTTTCGAGAATGATCAAGGGAGCCTCGGTGTAAGTACGAAAATTGGGCTGGGTAATCTCAAAAGGAACTTGGATGTAAGTCTAGTATTTTGGGAAGTCCATTGGATGTTTCGATATGCATAACAATCTCTGGCTAAATCAAGGGAGCGGTAAAATAAATGTGAAAATCTAAAAGAATATTTGGCGCACCTTCTCGAGTCTATGTTGGTATGTAGCTGTTTTAGAACTATTTCAACAGCATGAGACCAATTATCTAACGTAATTAGTATTCGGGTTGTTTTTAGAAAATTTGAGTGGCAGATGTAAAATGACAAAGTTTTCGAAACTTTTGTGTTTATTGCACTAACTGCTTTCGGGGCTAACTTCTGATCGGTAACGCGGCTTTGGAGTAGTTCCCTTGGAAGTTTTGAAAGTAATATATAGGGTGCGCTAAAACTGACAGCGCCAAACTTGGACCACTGCCACATAAAAACCACTGAGAAATATAGGCACAAACTTGTGCCATAGAATGTCCTAATCACACTCTACAGGGAACACTATACAGAAGTCAAAAAGATTTTTTTTTTAAGATCTTGAGGATCACAAGAATCAGACTAGCAGTTTTGAAAAAGCAAAAATGGGATTTTTAAAGCTCCATACTTTGCTTTGCAATTGAATGAACTGGAAGCCCTTCTGAGTCATTCCAAGCATTTATTGTAGAGCAGACTTTGCGCTATCCCAAGTCTTAGTTGCATTTACAAAAATTTGTGCTTTTACAGAATACGAAGATGTGTTCGCGAAAAATACTTGCGTACTAAAATACTTGAACAACAACCTTATGTACAAAATCAATTTTTCAAACTTCAGACGCTCGAAACCTTCCAGGAAAGAGGCATTTTTTTGTTCATGAAACGTATAGAAAGGCGTCTATAATGGGCGTCTTGTGAAAATAGTTTTGAAACTGATTTGAAAGACATTTTTTTGATTCTCAGGCACACATACTAGCAGGGCCAAAATTCCATTGAGTTTCGATATGCCTGCCAAGCATATTTTGGAAAAATCAAAAAACCATCTTCAAATCAATTCATAACTTTTATACTAAAAAATGTTAAAGATGAAGGCTTGCTCTGCTTTGGTGCATTTCCAGAACAAGAGGAAAGGTTCTTGAAAGAAAATCGTGTAAATTCTCAAAGTTGGGCTTGCGTACAGAGCACACGTTGGCTGTCGAGAGGATTTAAGATTTTTTTGAAAAAATAAGCAGCCAAATTCTGATTTGACTATAGCATTACGATGCTAATAGTTGCTGTAAAAGATGCATGGTTGCATGGTCGTCATCAAGCCCCCCCCCCTTGTATCTTTTTGGCACTCAAGCAAACACGCGCCGGTAATTTTGGCGCACCTGTAATTTAAGTGAATCTCTAAGATTAGCAAAATTTGCTGTACCAAAGTGATAGCAAAGTCTCGGTATTTGCTCAGTTTTAAGGGACTGATGTAAATACTGTAGCTAGCAGAAACGGAACGAAAAGAAAGTAATCAAATCACCGAGAATAAGCGTCTAACACGAAGCGCTAAATATACGGCCTTGAGACCAACACGCAGGCCAACGGGAATTAACCATAGAAGGAAGAGTGTGAGGAAGCATCACTTAATAGAACAACTACATCAACTCGCTAATTTTTCACTCAGATATTTCCCCGAAAGGTTTGAGAAGCGTAACTTGCGCTAAGCTTGCCCAACAATTTGAGGGAGCAAGATTGAGATCATGAATAAATTTACGATAAAGTGGTCCGCGCGTCTAAGTGGTCTCATGGGTCCTGTATGGCGTGAGAGCTGCTACGACTGCTGTTAAGAGATCTAGCGGTCGGTCTTGCCATAATCCCTAACTGGGGACTGGCACCAACTCTCAAAATACAACATCGAGTTCACCTAAACTGGGAGGGACATCCGATGGTCGTTGGTCGCTCCTAATGTGACTCCATCTACTTTCGAATAACAATCATAAGAATGTTACTCTCGAAGAGTATGCCAGCAAACAACCGGAGATGATAAGGCACATCAATTTGTTTGCAATTCAGCAACATAGTCGCAGACGTAATCGCGCTAATTCGAAGAATGTCTCGTTTGAGGCTGAGCAAAGCTTTGCTTTGAGAAGTTTTTCGGTCAGAATTCAAACTTAAAGATTTCGAAACCTCTTCTGTTTCCAGCCCGTCCAACTCTGCCTTACAGACCTGGCTAAATTACATCACTTGTAGATCGTCGTGCATTACTTTGTTGTCAAAAAACATTTCATGACTACGCATTTTTTTTAGGCCAGCAGGTATGGCGATATTTGTAGTGCTCCTGCGCTGCCGACATTTTCCAACAACATTTGAGTGTGAGCGAATCACCTAGTAGAGCAAAATTCGAAAACTTTGCGCTTTGCGGTCATTTTGCCCGCATATACAGACA